GCAGCGGGGTTACCTGTCACGGGGAGCCCGCTAAATTTTACGGATACGATAACTTACAGAGACAGCAGATTTTTACGACACAGCAAGAGGCCGAGCTGGTACAATATCCTGACTGTAAATCGTCCAGTGCTAATATTGGCGAGGAACCAGACCACTTAAATCAGAGCTCGTCTCCTGCTCAAATGTTTCCCTGGATGAGACCACAAGGTTGGACGCAGTCAAAAATTTGCTTCCATCTCACGTCTGAGTTTGAAACTTTCTTTTCCTCCTCCCGCTTCTTTCTCGCTGACTCTCGCTCCCTGCCTCTGTCTCCCTCACTCCCTACCTCTCTCCCCGCGATTCCTCTTACTGCGGTGGCTTGCGATAATAAAGTGATAGAGTAAGCAAACAGAAACCTCTGCAGCAGGCAGCTACCAACCCAAGATTAGTTTTTAAGGCTGCGCCTCTCGAACCCTGAGGCATAGCTGACACGCTCGCTCGTCTCCCGTCGCCGCTGCCTGAACGGGAAGGGTGCAAGGTCGGGAAGCGGTGTGGGGAGGATGGAATAAAAGATCATAAAGTGAATCCGCAACCCCCCGTGCAGAGGAACAGCTGAGACACTTCGTGCATTTGCTATCGCTGTTTTTCTCTCACTTATGTAAAGCTCTAGACTCCTTCGTGCCCTCTGTTTTCTCTCCCTTTGGTTCTCTGGGGCTTCTCTCGAGGGATTCCAGAGGGACCGGAGCCCTCGCTCCCTGCCTACGCCTTGTTTTGAACGGCCACACCAACCTCCAAATCCCTATGTTTTTGTTTTAAACAGCAGCGCCTGGTAGGAGGAGAGGAAGGCAAACGTACAGCCGATTCCAGACTCTAGAGCTGGAAAAGGAGTTCCTATTTAACCCCTATCTGACCAGGAAGAGGAGGATCGAGGTGTCCCATGCTCTAGGACTCACCGAGAGGCAGGTAAAGATCTGGTTTCAGAACAGAAGGATGAAATGGAAAAAAGAGAACAACAAGGACAAATTCCCCGCTTCCAGACAGGAGGGAAAGGAAGGGGAGGCCAAAAAGGAAGCACATGATCTAGAAGAAGACAGAGCTGAAGGCCAGACAAATTAATTTTTGCCCTAAAACTCTTCGTGAAAGGCAATCAAAAATAACCAGGACCGTAGCCTGACATCTCGGTTCATCTGCCGCTGTACGTGATCTTGCCGTAGGACGAGTGACCCCGTGTCCCTCCACTTGACATTTCCTTTCTTCGGGTGCTTCACTTGTTTATGGCTTTATTTTGTTTATAAGCGTATTCAGAACAATCTCTAGATTTAACATTTCATCTACTTATTTTTGCAAATTTGATACAGAGTTTGTAGCAATAAATTTCTAATTATATATAAATATATATATATATTTGCAATCTTAAAAGATGGTGATTGTGGGAAACGACATAAATTTCCTAATAATAAATACCAATAAGCAAGACATTTAAGAATGCTTTATTAATCAAGATAAGTGCACTCGTACTATTTTAACTCTTGTTCTTATGTTGAATAAATTATATAAATTTAATAAAATTGAAGAAAATATCTTAGAAATATCTTTAACCTTCTGCTATGATGTTTGATTAAAATAAACCAAATTTATTCAATTATAAAGTGTATCAGCATCCCGATATCCTTTTTGTAATCCACTCCTACACTAACCTTCAGAGTCTCCACGGGTCTAGACTAACTCTCCCCTGCGCCTTTCCGCCGTCCGTCTTGCGATTCTGGGTGTTTCTGTGGGGTCTGGAACGGCACATTGCATACAAAACCTGCTTTTCGCTCGGATACTGCAGGGTTGTGATCGAGGCAGCGGCCAGCGAGGACTGCGGCCCCACCTGCGAGCTGAGTCCACGCTGCGAGCTGGCCCAGGAAGCCCCCGACGTGTGCACCGGGGCCCTGTTTCGCCTTTTCCTGCTCCCCACAGCGGGCTGCGGGGCGGCGGCGCAGGGGACGTTTGCCGGCTCCGCGAAGGCGTTTGCTGCCGGCCCGGCTGGAGGGAGACGGGCCCGGCGAGCGCGCTGGCCCCATTCCTGCCGCAGGGCTGCTTCCCACCGGCCGGGGCTTCCAGCCCCGTCACGCAAGACACGGACAAGCAAGGCCTAGCGTCCCCCGTGGATGGTGGACGAATAGAGAAATGGAAAGCTTTTACGGCCTTTCGTGGGGGTTACTAGGGGGCTTTTATGGCTAGGGGGTCCCAAAACTTGCGTAGACAGAGAGAAGGACCTTTCCCCCGCTAAATCATACGGCTTGGGCGCGTTTCCTAGTGAAGGAAGTAGCCGAGGAAAGAGCTTGCTGAACGATTCCCGCAGCCATGGGTGGAGAGGTCCGCTCCGATGAGTAAAACGGTTTAATTTCTCTCCCCCTCTGTCCTCCCTCCCTTTGCTCCTGCTTCGCAGCGGGGTCCCGCAGAGCGCGGTATGAAACAGGACGGCCGAGAACAGTCCTTTTTAGGAGCATCAGGCAGAGGGCCGAGGGATGAGATATAAATTCCTACCAAGATATCTGTGTCATTTTTCCCTACCGCCTGACACCCCCTGAGTGATGGTTCCATGAAAGAAATCGAATGGACGCGCCAAACACTGCGACAAACACGACATATTTCTATTATCTGCCCAGAAACGAGCATGCTCCCGGCAAGGCCGGGGCCGAGCCGAGGCCTCGCTCGGAAAATCATAGCAGGGTTCCGAGGAGCTGCCGGCTGCCGCCGAGTCCACCCGGCGCTGGGCCCTTCTGCACCCACCGCTTTGCTCCCGGGAACGCACCCGACGCAGCAGGAAACGCCGTCCACGGGGACTGGATTTGTAGGGCGGGTTTGATGCATTTCGTTTCCCTTCCTCTTCCCCCCCTCCCTGCCAACGAGGCAGGCACGTTTCCACTCCTGCAAAGCGCCAGCTCTAGAGGGAGGCACGAGCAAGAGAAGCTATTGTTCTTGGTTTTATTTAATTCGCCTCGTTGGTTAAAGGTTGTAAAGGAAGGGAAGCTGCAACAAAGCGGTGAAGTAAATATTTTGCTGCATGGATTTGCATAAATACACCGACACCCCTAGCGTTCAGGGAGGATTGGGTCTGGTGGCTGCGCGTTTAAAGAACACCAGTCGCAAGACGCGCAAAAAACCATCGCTTTTCAAAATAATACTCGTGCCGGCGGCACCAGCATGTTTGATGTCCGGGCAGGGCAAAGCCTCTTCCCTCTGCTGCATTTGCGGCAGAGGCTGGGCGCGGCATGGTACCGACGGGCCCTGCCGTAGGGAAAGCCGTGATGGTGCCGACCGCTGCAAACACGGGCTGCTCGCGAGGGGAAGGCACGTCGGAGACCTTTACACCCAAGCGGAGCACTTCTTAGGCTAGTATTTGTCCGGGAGAGAGCTGCTGAGGTAGTTGTTTTTAATTACCAGACAAAGGAATAAAATTAAAATACTCCTTAAGAAGTTTCCGTTAGCGTCGCTCTCCCGGGGCCGACTGGGAACGTAGCCACGCAGGCGAAAACCGACTTCCCTATGCGCACATAATTGGTCAAGGCCTAGTGGTAGCTGGAATCGTCCCTGTCTTACTCATTAGGGAAAACAAAACATCGTTGTAGTTGTTAAGGTATTTCCCCCCGTAGCCTGACATATGAATCTCTCCCTCGGTCTTAGTAGGAGGCTTGCTAAGAAAAAAGAAAACTGAACCAGAAACCGAGCAAGGCTCCCATGAAATCGAAGCCATCGAGCTCCGGAGCAGACATTGGGATTTTGGCAAACAAAAGCCGTAGCTGCGCGAGTCGCGGCTGGAGCGGCGGCGAAAGGTGGCCCGAAACGGCCACCGCGCGGATATACCGCGACTTTGGTTTCCGCGGATTTTCTCCATTCCCTAGTGCAGCAACTCAGCGCAGCCGTGAGTGCTGCAGAGACACCACGAAAGCTGCCAGTGCCTCTGCCGAGGCACACTCAGCATGGATGGGATATTCACAGGTGTGCAACTGCCTGAAGCAGCGTGTTAAAAAGATCCAACATTGATCCTACATCTTTAGGCGTGTTTACTTTTGTTAGCAGTTACAATCAGCAGGGAGGTCACGGATGAAGTGCTCTGGCTATTCCTTGAAACAAAATTTGAGCAGGAAACATCCACAGTATTCCGTCTCCAAGCCGAGCAATCCCTGTGGACAGAGGTCCATTTTTAATTTTTTAGAATGCTTTCTAGGAATTCCCTGATGGTGCCCCGGAAAGGTTTTATCGGGGGTGGAGGCACCCCGGGCGCCGTGACAGCGCCTGGCGCAACCTGCGGGAACCGCACACTGCAGGGTGGGGAAGAAGCTCGGACTATTTTTATGTCGGCGACGGCTTCCGCTTCAGTAGTGGGCGCTAAAACAGATGTGATTTCTTTTAGTGCCCGGCGGAGCCGGGGGGAGGAGGGGGCACGGGGGGGGAGTGGGGATGCGAGTTAAGACCCCTTTCGTTTGGGCAAGAAACGGATCCTTCGGCACAGTGCTCTGCCCCTCTTTATGCGGCTCTGCCACCTCTTGCCTCACTCTCCGCGGCCCGAAGGGCAGGCGGGACCGAAGACTCAGAAAAAGCGCAGCGCGAAAAAAACATGGCGCTGGGAAGCAGTATGTGCAAAATCCGCAAGGAATTGCAGTAAATTCCTTTTTGTTTGAAGAAAATTTACAACTTGGTAATAGACCTTTTTATGACCTATTTGGGCTCGTCATTGGCTGCGGCTGGTCATGTGCAGGCAGCGAGCGCTTTCATGGCCTTTTCCTGATTTCCCTGGCGAATTTCCCCCTGCATTCTGCCTTCAGAGAGCCTCAGCCCCTCTTTTTCTAACCTTTGTCTAGGCTGAGGTGTATGGCAGTCGCCCTCATGTTTGTGTCTCGCGCCCCCAAACCCGCGGCCGGTCCCGCCGCCTCCGTACTGACACTTTCCCGGCCCCGCGCCTCCTCCTCTCCCGCGCCCACGGAGAGGTGCGCGGAGACCCGCGCCCGCCGCCGCGTCGCATCCAGCCCCTCACTCCTCTCCCACCGCTTGATGCCCCCGCTGCCGCTATCTCCTCCGGCACACGGATTGCTACGAGGGTGCAGAATGGATTACGGCGACCCTCTCGGGCTCCTCCGCAGGCGGGCAATGCCGCGAACTGGTAAGCACTTAGCTCCCTTCGGACTGGTCGCCGCTACTCCGCGCCCGCGCCCCGTCCCGATACGCGGCACGGCATCGGCTCCCCTGTCCTCCTGTCACCCTCGGTCACCTGTACCTCGCGGTCCCTTGTTCTTTCTACTATTGCTATTACTATTACTATTTTTGCTGCTATTACTGCTGTTGTTATTGCTATGGTAATTATCGGTGGTGGTACTATTACAATCGTAGTCGTGGCCATGCCGCAGAGTGCGAGCGGCTGTTGCGCGCGGTTTGGCACGGGAAATGCGCCGCGGGCCGCGATGGCGGGGCGCTCCTCGGCATTCCGCGGCGAGGGGCAGAAGGCTGGGGCGCAGTGCGCGTAGGCAGTGCCTCGCCTGCCGGTGGGGTTTCTTCCAATAAAAGGCCTTCCTTTTTTTGTATACTTTCCCTCTACCGGCCTGAAGCGCGCCGTAGTTTGTTTTCCCCATGGCGGAAGGGCAGTCGCGTAACTTTAAAGCTTAACAGGTGTTTTCGCAGGAGAATCAGGGTCAGTGCTCCCGCAGGGGCGGAGGGCACGGGGAGGCCCCGCCGACTTGGCGGCTGTGCCCGGGGCCAGCCCCGGGAGCCCCCGCCCGCCCCTCCGGGACGTTTTCGCACATCCTTCTCCCCCTGTACCGCAGAGCCAGGGCTGAGGCTCCGACCTGCTCCGTGGGCGGCATATGGGCCGGGCTCGACAGGCGGGAGCGCAGACCCGCGGTACGGCTACTTACCCACGTGGAAAATATCGGGGGCTAAATGTGGCACGAGTTTTCGGGAAAAAAAACCAAAAACCCAACACCAACACCCCCCACCCCCCGATTTATTTTAAAGTATGCCGAGGAGATAGAACAGTCGCATAAACTATACCTGCACTACCAATATATGTGTATATATCCATATTCACATTATCTATATACATTTATATACCTCTAGTTCTATCTGTAGAACACATATTCTTTAGAAGTACATTATTTTGAACGTATATACACATATTACTCATCTTCATTTTTCAAAATGTTACTGCACAGTAGAAAACACGGTGCCTGTTATTTGGCGTTCACATCGATGGTCGGTGGTAGCAATGCACCGTGCCATTGCTCCGCAGGAATTTACCGATCGCCATCTAACCCAAAAGCAGCCAGTTAATTAAAGGCAAACCAAAACGCCTGATTAAACAATACACAGTGAGGGTGGAAAGGTGTGAGTCGTGATCCGGGTACCTATTTTGAAGGCGCAGAAGAAATTCTGCTTTAATCCGTCCCCGAGCACCTCTCCAGCCTGCTAAGCCCGAGTCCCACTACAGTAAGCAATAAAATCGCTGTCCCCCACGCTTTCGTGTGTAAGCACTAGCCGACCGCCCTGCGCTGCTGCAGGACTTGGGGATTATTTGGGACAAATCGTTTTCAACTTAACAACAGTCTTCAAGAGTAACTTGGAAAGTATGCGCTGCGTTAGGTTTCACTCTTAGAATCCCTTCTAGGTGACA